GGGCTGCGGGGTTTTACTTCCCCGCCCACTGCAGCGGCGCTGTTCTCGCTCAGCGCCGCCGCCTTACTCCGCGGCGTATTACACGCCCCGGGGACGGGTCGTTGCGGGCGTCATGCCTCGCTCGCCGCCCCCGCAATGTCCATTGACTATACCTACACTGTACCTATACCGTTTTGGAATTTCGCGCAATAGAACAACGACAACTTATGACTAACAGTATTTCATTTACAAGTGGAAAATCTGAAAATGTTAATTACTATTTGGAATATTTGGAGTTTTTTCCTGTGTCTGAATAGCAATTAATGTTCCATAAAACTCACTTAAACGGTAAAGCTACTAGCGGGTTTGAAACATTTCTTCGTATGACCCTGGCCGAGATTCCAAGTCCTTAACTGCTCATATTTCTATGATAGTTATAAGTTGTAAGAGCTTCTAGAACTCTCCGCTGTAGTTGCAACAGTGAAATAAAAATTTAGACTCGTCTCTGAGACGAGTGGTTCGTAGTTAAAAGGTTAAATATTTTTTCAACTAATATCAATTCGATTGTCTCTACACCCGAAACATGATTACTTTAACTCCTGACCGATTTTCACGACCTCGCTATATCGTGACCCGTATTTGCTGTATTATACTATTAAGATACTTTGTCATTCGATTTTATTCAACTGTTATCTTGAACTTTTTGTTTAAGTAATATCTTGAATTCGTAAAAAGGAGGAAAGCAAAGGTAACATTGCGTATAAAGTTTATTCGGATTTAGATGTTGATTTCATTAACTTCTCTTATAACTATGAAATGGAGCTACATATATGTCGTAGCAAACGAAGCCCACGGTAAACAAAAAATTCAGAGAACGGTTAATTACAATAGAGCCAAGTTCAATTAACGCAACTTGAACCAGGCGACTCGAGTTAACAATGCCTTAACAAGTTTCCACTCCACAAGTTGGCTCGTACCAACTACATGTTGTCGAAATACATCAACGAGAAACGTAAACGAGCAAACAACCTAGTCCTTGCTTCGGTATACGAAAAATAAAATTTCCATGTTTTTTTATTTTATCTCGATAAAAATATATTTTTATATTTTCAGTCGATAGAAATATTCTTGTCCGTACTTGAAATTTTATTACGATTAAAATGATTAATATTTGGTTGACAACAGTTAATCCTGACATGATAAATTAGAATATTTTGGGCAATATATTTATGTATTACACATACAGGGTGAGTTACCTAAGACTAGAACCTGAAATATCTTCGAAATTCAATTACACCGAAAAATATTTCAGGCAAAAGTTGAATAGTGTCAAGAGGAACATCATTTGATGTAATTAGTTTTTTCTTAGGTGGACACGTAGATGAGATATGAAGGTCTTTGTTTTTTAACCCTGTATGGAATTTATGAAGTTACAGGAAAAATATAATTGGTTTTCATTAAAGAAATCGTACAAATTTTGTTCTCTTTTGTAGACATTGTTAATGTTTATTAGATATTCAGTCCAAATTAAATGAAATTTTAGGTCTGACGATACATTTAATAACAAAGGAAAAAGTATTTGTGATTTGATTTTGAGTCAAATTGACCAAATTTCTGTATAAGGGTTAAATAGAACCGTATATTTTTTAATGCATTAATCGATTCAGCTAATCATTCTACATAAAAAAAAAGTATTGGGCTATTTATGTTAAAAGAACCATTAGTTTAGGTGATATTTTAATTTCAGTATTGCAAAATGGTACTGATACACCTATTTGCATCTGTTTTTCTTAATGACACGAAATTTTTTTTCTACCAAGTGATAGAGGGTAATGAATCGAATCTATTTATATCATTTTATGTGTAATTATAATATGTTGACCTTCAGATGATTTAACAATGTGCGTGATTACCATCGAAATTTACATTGAAACACTAGAATGTCGAAGATTGTCTTTTTTATAGGGAATGGCGAGCTGAATCGATTAATGCATTAAAAATTAAACGATTCTATTTAAAAAAAATTAATTTGACTTTCATATGCCCTCTCACGCGTCCACCTAAAAAAAACTAATCACATTAAATTATGTTCCTGTTGACACACTCGACTATTTTCTAAAATATTTTTCGGTACAATCGCCATTTTCGAAGATATTTCAGATTCTGGTCTTAAGTGACTCACCCTGTATATTACCTCCGACAAGGAGAACCTATGCATTGTATTCTAAATTTTATATAAAATTTTGTTTTTAGTTGTAGGAAAAAGCATCCAACGCATCCTCAGAAAGTAATAAGGAAAAACTCTCTTTTATTTCTAAGATACAAGTTATTCAAAATGCAAAAATTGCGTTCAATTTGTGCTAGTCCTGCGAATTATGGTAATTGCTATATTCAAGTTATCAACACTCTTTTGATTCCGGCAAAATTCGAATCTAGCACAGATGACAGTAAAAAGTACTCTTCTCTGACGTCCAAAAGTCAAACAATACCGTGGAATTTTTGACAACAAATTTCTTTCTCTCAAATTTAAGAACCATACAACCACACACAAAGACACACCAATCGAAAAACAGGGCGCACACAATTTACATTCAGCAAACAAGCAATTTCTGCTATGTTTGCAAAAGCACGAACACAGACGGATCCACAGCAGAATTATCAGAACTCAAAAATAACTCGCAATTACACAACACGTAACACGAACATTGTACATATATTTCGCTAAGTTTCAATTATAACAATTGCCTTGAGAAATCGCACCGGGTGTCAGTTACTCGACCCTATTTTCAACGTGTCTTGTGTGATTAATTTCACATCAGTCAACGTCTCGGTACATCATCGTGATTGAACGTAACAGAGATTTACGACCCTACGAAATTCGTACTGCAAATTGCGATGTACGAGACGTAACAACTTCATTTCTACATGCTACAAAATATTGGTATTATATTTTTTAATTTGGTAAAATCAATAAATGAAAAAAATTAATAACAAAATTTGGTGCAACTATTATTTGATACTGATACATGGAAAAGAACATATATATTTTATTCCGTTTCTGTAGTGATGTAGAGCAGGGGTTCCCAAAGTTTTGCCTAGGTGTGCCAAATTGTAAATTCCAAAATATTTGGCGGGACATTAAGACAACAAAATATATACAATCTATATAATAACAAGATGTATTACATATAAAATTTACTGTTTTTTTAACTGAACAATTTTTAATTATAATATGATAAAATTTATTTAGTTTTTTGGAAAGATGTAAATTATCTCTGTAAATTCAAGATCGGGGCTGATCTGCCATCGCGGGCCGCATTTCTAGGGTTTGCGGGCCGCACTTTGGGAACCCCTGATGTAGAGAAATAATTTATTAAACTTTTGTATTACCTGACCTGGCTGGGATTTTCAACTTCTACATTAAAAGTAATTCCATTAGGATATACTTCATTATCTGCATGCAAAAAATTATGTATATCGTATACAGAGTTGTTGGAAGATCAACCAAAAGGGTGAAAATTAGATATAAAAATACGACGCGATCAAACTTCATTCGCTCGTGCACAATCAATTGCAAGTATGGGTTTATACACCTAATGCATACCAATTTTTAACATTTGTTTCTTATTTTAATAACTTTGTAGTAACTTTGTAGTTTGTAGACATTTCTAATATCCTTAAACATTGATGAATAATTGCAATTCATTTTTAAGGTAAATGTAGCGATCTTCTTCTTTAACGAACACAATGAAAACAATATCTACACGAAACAAATATTTGTAAAATATTCATGATGTAGAGATAATTTATGTGTTTTATGTTTTTATTCAAATTATCACTCGAAATTTGCATAGAGTAGCCCATTGTGACTTCTTTCCATTCCCAAAAATGAAATTAAAGCTCAAAAAGCGGCGTTTCGACACTGTGGAAGAGACAAGTTAAATCGCAACAGGTGCTTGACGCGGTTGTGGGAAATGATTTCCAAAAATCATAGGCATGGCAGAATCGATGGGATCGCTGTACCAATGCAGGAGGGAATTGTTTCGACGGGGACGAAAACCAAATTTAGCTTGATTGATTAATAAAACTTATAAAATCACTCCGGTTTCTTTTTGATAGTACCTCGTATAAACAGTCGCATCTTATTACCTAGAATAATGTTTACCTAAACGGAACTGTTCCGTATCTGAACGGATAATACAAACCGACCTTAATGCTATAATTTACCACTTCACTATATTGATTCCATTGACTGTACAACAGAACGATAACTTATCGTGTGGTTAGTTAAAGCACAAATTGAACACAAGTGTCCTAAACGATTGTGCGTTTCAATCGCTTTTGAGAAATGATAGAAGTAACTTTCGTCAAAACAAATCCGCCTGACTTGTAATTAACATGGCTCTATTGTAATATATAATATGTGTGTACTAAAATATAGATCATGAGTTTCAACCGTTCAAAATTATCGAGAACTAAACTTCATTATTTATCACCTGTGGTTTATTTACTTACTTTGTTTCAATTGCAGCAGTTTGAAACTTACATAATATATTAATGAATGCTTTCTAAGGAAGATGAAGATAATATAAAATAGTACAAAATGCAATATATTAGGTCGTTTGGAAAGTCATGTCGAATTTCGACGTCTGAATTTAAATAATCATAACTTCGTCAAAAGTTAACATATTTATTCAAGATAAGAACGATTATGATCGATACATTTTTACCAATATGTTACTAATTTATTTATGCCATTTACAAATCGTAGGCATGACAAAGAAAATGGATAAGTGCGCTCCGCAAAAGCTATGCTATAATACTGGTCTACAAAATTTTACTCTTTTTTTGTCACACAAGGTTTAATGTGTGATTGTGATAGTACTTTTTATACTAACTCATATAATCCTATATATGCAGTATCGGGGCCTCCATACCCAAAAATAGGAAACCGGCACGGGACAATACAGAGGGAGTGGTTGGCATAGCGCGCAAAAACCTTGGCTTGCTAAGCCGAAGGTCTCGGGTTCGATTCCCGTGTTGGGTCCCTCAATATTTTTCCGTCGTCGGTTCCTACATATGGGAGCTCGTCCGGGATGGAGGGCATCTTTTACGGCTGCACGAAGCCAGGCGCTGTGAGATGAAAACATTATCTGGAGGGTTGCACGTCTCCCAAATTGCGACGTTTTCAGCTGTGTGCCACTGTGTGAGGGAGTGTACCCGAAAAGTGTTGAATTTATCGAGTTGTGTTGCAATGAAGACATTCGAGGGCGAATGTCAGTTCAGGATGGCCGAGTGTAGTATCGGGGGCCTCTATACCAAAAAATGGGAAACCGGCACAGGACAATACAGAGGGAGTGGTTGGCGTAGCGCGCAAAGCCTTGGCTTAATAAGCCGAAGGTCTCCGGTTCGATTCCCGTTTGGGCTCCCTCAATATTTTTCCGTCGTCGGTTCCTACATATATTTTAGAACATTACCTAAAATGTAGTAAGTATTTGTTGATTTCCTGGAATATTTTGCTCGAGGAACATCCCGTTTGAGTGTCCAGCAGTATTTGCCTTAGTATCGCTTTTCCATGTACGAAATGTCCTGATGAAATCGCTCACCATGTTCATAACTTATGACATCCAGATTTTGATATAATAAAATTATAATTTGCCCTGTACATAATAAAATTCTTTACTATTAGGATTTCATTTTACTGAATACACTAAGCACAAATTATACAAAGCATTATAACATAGAAACTATGGGCAATGGAAAAATCTGATTGCAGATTCGAACGAAGCATCGGAAAAGACATAAGTGTCAGTGTAAATATTCTTTGTGACAAAAATCATGTTGACCAGTGTCATCAGCGAATGCTTCGTGCATTCATTTGGTCTTCCCATATTCTGCGGAACATTAAAAACTATTTTCTTGATAATATTATAACCTACGATGAAAATTAGGTACTTATGATAATCGGAAAAGATCTGAACTGTGATTGGATCTTAACGAATCACCTAAAGCACATCCACACATGATAATGCTATCTGTTTGGTGATCTGTTGACGGAATTGCTCACCCTAATTTTTTGTAAAAGGGAGAAACAATTACGGTAAATAAGTACTGCAATGATCTTAGTGCAATACATCAAAAGCTGTCCGTTATTGGTCCAGCACTTGTCAACATTGATTACAGTGTTAATTACAGAAGTTAAATGAACTAGAATATAAGACTCCACAACATTCATTCTGTACTCTGGACCTTTCTGCAGCAAATAATCACCTGTTCAAACATTTTGACCATTTTGTCAAAGAGAAAGCATTTCGAAATGGACGCGATATGGAACAGGCCTTCGTGAACCTTGTTTTCGACAAAGACCTCGTTCCAAACCTGGTAGTTTTTTTGTACATGGCATAAATAAATTAGTGAAACATTGGCAATGGTACATCAATTGTCGTGGTTCTTATTTTGAATAAGTATGTTAACTTTTGGCGAAGTTATGATTATTTGAATTCAACTTTCGAACAACCTAATAGTAGATATATGTAGTACAGATGTACAAGAAAAACAACGAACATCCTAGAATCTATAAATGTGTCAAATATGAAAATACAATAAACTCATGCGAAAAGCGATTTTGAACGGTTTAAATTTGTGCCAGCGTGGAATATTAAAATGTACTCAGGTATCTTGAAAAGTTATTACATTCGACGCAATCCTATAACAAGAGTATAACTTGCAACTTGATGTCGTAGGCCTACTTATTAAACATTCCATCATGGGACTGGAAACAGGGCGACGACGTAATCTGCCTAGCCGAATTGAAGCTGGGTTTCATCGCACAGTCCTGTCTTGCACCGGGTTTCAGCACGATGATGGCCAATCTCTTTGCTATGCGTTCCTTTAAGACGGTCAGTAGAATGTCGTCCTACGGCAGACAAAAAATTTATTGTTTTTTCATCTATGCATGTGTGAACAAGGTTCCTTAGGTTTTCACCACTGAGCTGTTCACAGTGATCGCGTACGTTCTATGCTCTCTCTGCGTCGGTCGTTATTTCAGAGAAACAATAGTCAGGTGAAACACTCTCGTTCCTTCGTTGAAGTTGATCACCTTGAAACGTACGTCAACCGCTCGAGAACCATTGTCCATTGGCTCTATTAAACTGCGCGCGTATTGATTCGAGTTCGAAACTCATTGCATAGAAAAAATGAGTTGCTAGAATGCTACACGGTCGTTTCACTGTGGACAAACACGAGAATCCGTACATGCATAGGAGTATGTGTAATTTAGAAATGGTTGGTTGATTGGTACCAGTCACCCGATATGCAGGCTTGGCAGAATGACTACCTGCGTGGAACTGGAATGGAGATGTACACTGAAACACTGAGCTCTACCTTCATTGGAATGCCCTTTGCCAAAGCCACTGAGTAAGTCGGTCCATGACCAATCCAACAGCCAACAGATACCTGCATATCTGATTCAAGAGACAAGATCTGTGGTTCCGCTCGTTTGTGTTGTACCGTTATAAATATCTCTTCACTTCCCATTAATAAGCCCCCCAAATGCAATATTTACGTTATCGACTCATATACGAGCTAATCGGTTTTCCCTTACTTCAGCCGAATTATTTTACCCCAATAATTACTAATAAGAAAGTATCCTCGTTTCGAACGATCGACAACTTGGTAAACTCGAGGAATATGTGGAAGATTCAATCTGAAACAGAGACAATTTATGCACTTCTTTGCTCCTCAGATTCGTACGAGCGTTTGTCTTAAAAACGTGTTTTGTCATTTTTCTACTTCATTATTGGCTAACATGAAAAGTACTAACATATCACTGCTCAGTATTCATTTTCTTAAGCGTGCCGTATGCTTTAAATTAAACGCAAATATCGTTTCACGGAACTAAATATTGGCATAATATGGCTGAATAATTCTGTTCGTCTGAAATATCTCTATTACGGTAAACTATATTACGATATATGTAGAACTCTGACCAAGTATTATAATAGTAAAATAGTAAACGGAAAAACTTCGATAAAAAAGCAAAAAATTAAATCATGAAACTTCCATCAAACTAGATACGTTAATTTACACGTGTAAAGTAATCTTAAGTTGTTTACAGTATTAGAAAATTTCAAAATTATCAAAACCTACTTTCGTACTTTGCTGTACGTTACGCATCAATTAGTGCATACATCTGCAGTTGTATAACTTGTCACTAATAAGGTGTCTCGCTTGTTTGTAATTGTAAACTAATTCTTTAATACATCTACATTACGCATACCTCATTAGAATTTATTTAGCGTTGTATCGTTTCAGCAAAAAAAGGTAGTAAATAAATAATATTTACATTATTTTATTTAGGAACATAACGTTTACTATTAGTACAAAGATAAATGATTCACATTCATTTGTGAACAATTGAATTAAGGAAAAAGTAATGTACCCGAAATGAGGTGAAAAGAATTTCCGTACAGTGTTTAAGAATTCAGCGAAATGTCTGCGAACAAGGCTCCAAAAGCAAATGCAAGTTAGCTAGTAATGGAAAATATCTGTTAATTATTAATAAATGAGTGAACATTGTTTTTCTTTGTACTTGTTTAGTCTACTCGCGATGATCTTGCGATCTTTCGAGTTTTGCTGAATTTGCACGTTTGTGCCGACTAATTACAATTCGAAGGACCACTCCCGGGAGACTAACTAATATGCTCGTGTTTGGTTTCCGGAAGATTTCAATGTTGCTTGTTGCTAGCCGAATGGATTCTGATTTCGAGGTCTCAGAAAAAGTTCGAAGATACCTCGGTCAGGATACATTCGGCGGGGGTGAGACACGCGGATTGGTTATTACAATTTCGACTTCGACAAGGGAGGTGGTTGACTATACGCGATTGGCAAACTATTAAACAAAGAACGAACTAAAGGAACGCACCCAAGTCAACGGTCACTCTCAAGTGTCGTCCGCACCCTTGAGTGACGCGCGCGGAAAGTCGCGTGTCTCGAAGCAATAAACGCAGCAGGTAATAAGTCTGGGCAGCGCTTCGTCGCTAACAGAAACATACCAAAGTGGAGACCAAAAACCCGAGAAGTTAAAATATAACAAACAGATGTGGACGAGAGCTACGAGAAGAAAAGCATCGAACTTCTAAATGAACGTTAAAGTGCTCGATGGCCTCCCAAATTTACAACTGCTGCGAAGGACCGAATAATTTCCAGATCCGTGCCTGGAAAACGCCGTAAATCTAATAGGACGACTAAACAGTACTAATGGTAAATGTTATGCTTCTAAATAAAACAATGTACATATTATTTATGTGCTATTTTCTCTGCTAAAAATATAAGTTGATCTAATAATCTAATAAAAATGAAAGTTGATTTTACGTCGAAAGGATTTATGTTAGGACCTATATTGACTAGACATTTTTCACTCCTCTCGGTGAGTATTATAATCTGTTCAAGTTATGGACACTTTTTCACGACCACCGTACATAATTAATAACGAGTTGTGCTCGCAAGTAGTTAACATTAACAGATGAATGGAATTGTCGCTTTTTATTTATCTCGTAACTCCTATTTCAGTTAATAAGGTCTCATGGAAAAGAAATCCAAATTATGTTTTTCTTTTTGTAAGATAAAATGGTGACCCATTTAAAAAACGATCCACACAAATATCTTCGATACTACAACAATACGGAAAAATGTTTTCGATAAAAGTTGAATGACTTCGAGGGGGAGTGAAGGTCAAATATGGGTCAACTTTATTTTTAAATGAAACTAATGTTTGAAGACATTAGGGGACGCAGCTCTACATTTCCTGTAGAATGTTGTCAGCACAACTTAAGTAAATTTAACACAGGATAGGGTATTAACCAAAAATGTATTAAAGTGTAGTGATAAGCGACTGCTAAGTGCTTCGGTGTCCGTCTCGCTCGACGGCTATTTCCAAAGTGTCCATCTCCGCGTCGTATCCCGCGTTGCTCCGGAAAACCGTTGGAAAGGGCTTACTTTATGGCACCCTCAGGTACCCGCGCGCTTTCTCTTCCTGGGTGACAAAGCCCAGGCCACCACTTCGCCGCCGAAATCTTGCATTTCTTACAATGTATTAAGCTGTTTATGTTGAACAGATGTTAGTTTAGAAAATATTTTTTTAGTCTTGTAAAGTGGCACATAGCAATACGATATTTATCTGCTTTAAGTTAGTATTCTGAAGTACACACGTCAGCCCAAATGAGGATTGAAAATTGTTCGATCTCTAAATGATCTATTAACCCTGTTAAGTATTTTTCCGGAAATTTGTAGTTTCGAAGATATTCGAGAGGATCGAGTGGAATGAGACACCCTGTATATTTCAAATGAACAGAATGTATTATTATTAATTTCTATATATTGAGACAATACTAAAGAATTCCTTTTCAAATTTCTGACAAATATTTGAGTAACTGAGCAAATAAACTAACTAAGTGAAGGAAAACTTCATTCTTTGTTTGCGTAGATATATTAAAATTAAATTAAAAATGAAAAAAGTTGCTAGAAGTTAGTTTCATTTGTTTAAGGTGAGTTCTAGAAATGTAGAAAGGAATATGTTATTCCTTAAAATACCACCTACATGTTCCTTGCGTTTGGAAGTTTTGTATTCTGACAAAATCTTCATATTCACAGTAACAATCCTGTTTATAATTTACATGATTCATGTGATTCACAAGGACGGTAATTTTTGCTTAATCCATACTTTCATAAATGAATTAATATTACGAATCATTATAGTATGTGCCGCTTCGTCATTAGATACTGTACAGGAAAGTTTGTCTTGAAATTTCGGAAGCGGGGGGATGGAAACTGTTTTATCGAAAATGCGAATAACAGGATGGTTATAGCGGTAGTCGAAGATACAGAAGAACTTTTTTCGCGTACACTTTAATGATCGAACGTCTCGGGTAAAAAGACCGTTTCTGGAAAGTATATACGTAGTTCGTTTGAAACTTTTCACTGTAGTAATCCGCATCTTATTGTTAGAAGTACATAGATTTTGTCGACTATTTCGCACTCTTTTCGCGTTAACGACGACGGAATCACTCGAGAAGGGTCCATAGTCTCTTGAATCGGAAGAAAACGGATGAAGCTTCGCCTCGCCTGTGTCTTTCACTACGCTCCACTCTGCTATGAACATTATATGGATTACATCTACACCTACACCTACATCTACATCCAATCTAAATCTAATCTACATTTACATCGACATCTACACCTACACTCAGGGACAGAAATATGTGGACACCCTTGAAAACAGAATAACTTTTTGAAAATTGGACCAAACGACTGGAGCTTTCTTAAAAAGTTAGAAAGATTAGTTCACTATATGATGTGTAAAAAAGATTTTTTAAAAATTGCAAAGTCGCTTTTTATAAGTTCTTCATCTGAGCCCGTAATGAAAATTTAAAAATACGTTTCGTAGATTTATATCAGCTATATACGTGCTGGAAAGTTGTTATGGGCTACAAACGGTTAAATACGATGAAAATTGCAGTTTCTCACGACTTTCGGCCTTTTTTTTTACGTGGAGGAAATCCTCACCGACACCCCGCCCCCTGGGGAGGGGGGCGGGGTAGTTCCGGACTCTTACCGGCTAAAACCCCCACGGCGACCCTCCTCGGGCGCGTCGGTGGGACCCCGGGCTCTCGCGTAGCGAACACTACCGGAGCCCCACCGCGCCATGGCTTGCGCCCCGAGTTCTGCGTTGCCCGCACCGCCTTCTTCGGCGGAGAGGGTCGTTCCTCTCCCGAACCCTCTCCGCGGCCTCCTTCTGCGACATAACTCCTTCGCAGAAGGAGGCCACGGCCACGACTTTCGGCCTACAACTGTAATAAATCTAAAAATTCCTACATCTTTCGATGCCTGTCGCTTGTTTCTCTAAATCTACAAAACGTATTTTTTCAATTTTCATTTTGGGCTCAAATAAAGAAGTAATAAAGAGCGACCTTCGCTATTTTCTTCGCGATTCCGACTAATAGCAGTTTTGTCAAAAATTTTTTGACATGTCAGGTAGTAAAGTAATTCTTCTAACGTCTTAAAAGAGCTCAAGTCGCTTGGTCCAATTCTAAAGAAGTTATTCGGTTTTGAAGGGTGTCCATATATTTCTGTCCTCGACTGTATATCTACAACTACATCCGCGTCTATGTCTACATCTTCATCTACATCTGCACCTACTCACATCTACACTGACATCTACATTTATATTTATATCTATATATTCATATATATATCTATATTTCATCAACGTATTAACTATAATATACTGTATAGTGTCGTATCTGTGCTCTACACCTAATCGATGTAAACCACCTCTCATCGCTTTAGTATCATTTTTATATTTTCATGTATCTCTTTTTCTGTAAAGTATACGTACGGTTTAAATTCGATCGGATACCGCGGATCAGAACGATACGAACAATTGATGATTTCATTGGACATAACGCGAAAAATTGAAAATTTAATCTTATTACTTTTCTTGCTGTTAGAAAATTATTATAAATACACTTAAATGATTCAGGGCGCAGTTTCTTATACACAATAAAGAAGTAACAGGTAATAGTAAAAAAAAGATGACTAACACTTGATTAAAGATAAATTAAATCCACCAAAGATTTCTGCGTATGAAGCTTTAGATTTGAACACAAATTCACGTATCACGGAAAATATTCAAATAACGTGACACTGTTTAAAGTTCTTTTCCATCCATGACTATAGCAAAATTTTAAACAGTTATGCAAGCGTGTTCTTATTTGTAATACTTTAATCTATTCATCCTTTAATCATAGTACTGTCTACAGGTGCAACTCCTCTTGTCGATTATTACTCTACTAATTGTAATAGAACTGAAGAGTTCATACTAATAATGTAAGACCAAATTCTTTCGTTTATATTGATTGAACATTGAATCACCGTCATAATTCCCACAAAAATGAAAACAAAGTGGGAGAGAGCGGTTTAAAATACGCAATATATCAATACTGCTTTAGTTTTTCACCCTTTTCTTCAATGTACAACTTCGTTACACAAGGTGATAAAGAAATAGGTGGTCGAACTTTGGTATCGCATTATACTGTTCCTAAGGATGAAAAAAGGTCGTATAAATATAGGTCCGAAAACTCTTCCTTTCTGAGATATAGACTCTTTTTGCTTACATCGAAAATTCACTGGAATAGCTGTCAGACGTAGAATTTCAAGCGCTGTCGTCATTTGTTGCCATTGGAGGCAGCGTGTTTAGTTTATGATAATAACACTATTGATATACATCGTTCAAAATAAGAGTAACCTCGTTTCGCGCATGGGACGTGCCGAAGGCAGGGCTAGAACCACTAGAACGTTCAAACCCCCACTTAACCGCCTACGTTTTTCTCCGTCTTACCCTCCGCTACGCTCTCTCTCTCTATGCGCAGAACGGACGAGAATCGGTCCGAGAGCGAGGTTACTCTCATTTTGAACGATCTGGAAATACTCAAAACCCGGGTGCATGTGAAGAAATTCGGAATACACCAGGAATTTTTGAACGTCTTCGACAGTCTTCGAAACGTCGATGTGAAGCATGCAGTAATTTCATTAAGTAAGTTTTAAACATTCCTACAATACTCCATCATAATCGAAAAGTGTCTATATCTCGGAACGGAAGAGTTTTCGGACCTATGTTTATACGACCTTTTCTCATTCTTAGGAACAGTAGAATAAGATACCAAAGTTCGGCCACCTATTTCCTTGTCACCCTGTACATGCAATGATAATTAATTAAATAATTCAGTGGCAATTCTATGTAAATTATTATTCAAATAGTCTGTTGTTTCTAATTTGCTATTTATATATTTACTTTAATTTTCCATGACAAACAATGACAAAATTTTAATAATTTTACATTACACTGATAATAATGGAAATGACATTTACTGAAGTTATTTGCTTAATAATATTTCTTGATATTTGCTTAATGTAGAAAAACAGCAATAACTAAGAAATAAACAATGCCTGATACGCAGGAGTTCAATATTTTAAGGTGGAAATATACAGGGTGTCCCAGTTTTTTCGAATCAAATTTTGTCAGTGCGTTCTATTAAAATGTTACATAAACATATGTCGTTTGAAGCTTTATTGAAAAGTTAGAAAAGAAGAAAATGGTAACGGATGTGCGGTTATGATACAAAATAGGAATAAATCAGCAATGTGTACATCTATTCTGTTTATGCAAGCTCTGTTTACGATCTGAGATCGTTGAAAGCGTTGAATGCAAATCTGCCAGTGCCATTCTTGTCTTGTATCACAGTAACCGTAAGTTTGCTACCATCCCCTTCGTATTTCGTATTTTTATTATAACCTTTTTAACAAAGCTTCAAACGACCTATGTTTACATAACATTTTCTTCATACCTATACTCACAGAATATACTGACAAAATTCGGTCGCGAAGAAATTGAGGCGCACTGTATGTACTTACAAAAAATCATTTCAAATTCAAAAATTGCCTTATGCATACAATATAGAAGGTTTGATACCAAACTTACTTCGCACATTGGAACCTGCGACCATTTTGTCTGAATGAAAATCGTTGTTATTCATCGATTCGATCGTTTCACTCCTCGGTATCGGTTCACGGTTTGCACGAATATTTATCGTGCGTATAATGAAAAATCGCATTAACAACAAGCATTAACGGCAACTGGATGATAGGTAAGCACTAGGATCTATAGCTAGTAGGTCTCATCTCGTTTTTACTAGTAATCCGTTCCATTTTGAACGAAGATTCTACACTTATGTATCGAAGGTACACGCAGTGTCTGTTGCAATGCGTATTGGTAAAACAGCGTCTTCGGTTTTTAAGTTAGAACTCTGTCGTGCACGAAGATGTGCTTGTACGAAAAACATAAAGTTCAGCCTATCATAGGCAACAAACGACAAGATCTTGCAGTCGACCGATAATCATTGTTAGGAACAATTTGCGAGAAATTAGCAAAAAGCCATAGTGGTGAATATTACGTACATACGATGGAAGTGTTATACAAATCATACTACGATCTTCGCCAAGAGTTGCAAAGTTGTTGCACGATCATCGATTACGATACATTTCATTCGGAATCATGCAACTTTACGCATTTCTGTTATGTCTAATGGGTATGTCATCTGCGAGTAATTTTAATTATCCTGCGAGGAAGGAACAGAAACGTACTTTCAGCAATAGAGGCTCTCGTCCTTACTTTGCTGGAGCTTAAATGAAAGAAACGATGCAGGATATAATTGAGTAAATAGAAAAAGGTAGAACGTGTAGACTGATTTTAAACTGCCTTAAAACTGCTGATCAGAGTTTTTTTTTCAGAGAACTAGAATAAGTAGTAAGTGATCTTCAAATAGTGTTTGCTCTTGGTAAACCTTCCGGCTCGACGAGTATATCTATTTGATGTGGTATAATCGTGCGAAACAATGTATTTGACCTTGTTTGCCTGCACGACGAGATGCAGACCATAAGTCAGCGTCTCTCCTCGTGTCAGGTTCAGCTAGTACGTGGTGGACTTAGAAAGGTTTGATGACGTGGGGTTTGATTGGTTGGTGTTTCAGTCGCCGGATACTCAGGCGTGGCAGAATGATTACCTGCAGGGCACGGGCTGCGAGATGTACACGGAAACCCTCTCCCCGTCCTTTACCGGGATGACATTCCCCCAAGCCAGCGAGTAAGTTCTCGCTGCCATTGGCTACCTCACATTGCAAACTTTTTAAATATCGACATCATGCATACAGAATATATATATATACAAACATATAGTAACGCGTAATAATACATAATGAAGTTACACAGGACATCTACACGGAAATACACGAAAGGACACTATGATGCGAGATTTTGTTTCTCTGCCTGTTTACACTTGTTGATCTCACACATTTTTTATATATTTTTGATATTCCCTTGTAAAGCGTGTACATACATATAAAGAGCGTTCCTTGATGGGTAAACAAAAATTTAACAGCTCATTCTGGGAATGATACGGAAGCGAAGTGCCTTGTAATGTTTTGTTTATAGTTGAATGGTTAACGGGATATTGTCAACGAAAGTTGCGAATTTTCGTCGATATCGAGGTGTCGTAGAAATTCAAATTAATTTGAACCTCTTGGAATTTTCCTCATCTTTTACTATATTCGGAAAACTATGAGTTCTCTAAGTCATTTTTTATTAGCGCGGAAAACTATTTTTATTATTTGAAAATGTAAATTTTCGGTTGTCAAACCGTTTAATGACTCTTTGTGACATTCATTTTTAAACTAATCGGACAGAAAATACGTATGTGTATGTTGTAGAGAAAGCTTCAGGTAATCTTATATTTTTTGAAATTTTTCAAAGTAACATTTTACCTATAAAACTGTAAAGTAAGAATTCATTTATAATTTTCAAGTTGTGAAAATAGTACGTTAGAAAAATCATTTGTTATTTCTTGTGTCAACAGAAGAATTATTTCCAAAGCTGAAACTCTGAATATGAAAAGAATCATGTCGGTACAATTAATAGTTTCTGAGGTAAACAATTTATTTCAGCGGTCAAAGTTTATCAACAATATCTATTCAGAAAATTAACAGTTACGGAGAGAAGAAAATTATTTTAGTGGTCAAAGTTTATTAGCAATATCTATTTAACTATTGAGCTACGTGCAAAACGCGACAAGACACTTTTGTTCAAAATCGATCCCAGAATTGACTGTCGAAATTGTTGTTCATCCATCAGAGAACACCGGTATATCTATACACGGTTACAGTTGTCACCCATCACCTCGGTTTTTGATCCTTTGAACGTTTCTTTTTCTACTGGAATCTTTTTGGCTAGCGTAGTTTTTGTTTTGTTTGGTATATTGGTATTTTTTATGTATCTTTGGAATTTTACGCACGTTCAGCCAGTTATTTTACAAATAACGTTTGTTATTTTTTAACCAGTTCTCTGGTATTGGCAATCAAGTTGCTCTAGCAGTTTTGCACCAGTTTATTTAAATTACGTGTAGAAGTAGTAATACAAATTGATGCAGATTTCGTGACAATTTAAAGATATTGTAAAAAACACAATGTGAATTTTAACATTGAAAAATCACTTTAAAAATGGATATGGGGCACAGAAGTGAAAAACAAAGTTGCTATTTACATTAAACGTTTATCTATTTTGGAATGAATATTTTATCTATGTTCTCTTTTAAAAGCTATAATAGGTCCCCTGTTTTGAAAACAAGCTATTAATTCCTGAGATTCTATTATTATGAAAATACACATTTATGCTTTGTGAATTTGAAAAGGAAGAATTATTGAACGTGTTATCTGAAAACCGATATATGTATAAGCTGGTGAAATAAACGTCGTAACAGTACACTAAAATATGCGCAACATGACAAAATACAAGCACAGAAATATAACAAATTTACAAAATTTATACAAATACGAATGAATACCTCATGACTTAGAAAATTACATTCTTAATTAAGAAATTAGACAGTACTGAGAGGTACCATGTAGTTAACAATGTTAACTGCACTGTTTTTAAACACCATTGCTCTACAAAAACAGTGATCTTGAGAACTCATTACTTAATAAATTTGAATACATACTTAAAAAATGTAGTCTTCGTTTATAAACAAAAGGTTTCAAACTGTGCAAGTTGTACACGCAGAGAATTAGGGAAAATATATGACAAAATGACCTGTCATTAAAAACATCTTGTGGAAAATATGATTATTAACTATGAAAAGAATAGTATATAAAAGATAATGTGGTTAGTTGGTAAAGATCATTTATAAGCGAAATTGATAATAATGACATTATTATACAAGATCTGAAAGAGATAACGTTTTGCCACCTTCAGAAATGAAAAAATTATACAATAAGAATTAAGAAGATATTAATAGTTAATAGTAATCCTTTAAGAATCATATTATACCAAGTGTATACAGAAATATTCGAATACTATGGTACAATTAACTATTTTGCTTTATATTTTAAATAAACATAAGAATAATTTAAAAAATGTATCATATTTTATTTGTATATCATATTAGGTTACAATTTCAAGTTAGTACAAATTTTTACCTTACATAATTTTGTAAACATTAAGCTGAAATAGTGTATTTAACTGTAATAATAATAATACTGTATTAAACAAAAGGTGCTTCACCTAATTTTGTCACCTGAAATATTTCTATTATAACTACAATTTCATAAAGATGTTTCCTATAAAAGTTGCTGAATTTTATGGAGGACGGAGTATAATAACAATAGTTTTATTCTGTTTGAAGTGGTTAATAAGATACGAAGGTCAATTTAACTTTTTTAAATGAAATGCTATGTTTTATTTGTCGGTAACTGATAGTAACTTTAAAGACGAATTCAACAACCTACAATAATACACCCTTCGGGGTTACTGAAAGTCGTACAAACTACCGACATCTGGCGATCGCCAGATTTAACACCTTCCTTTTTTTTTTTTTGTTAACGCGGAGGAAATCTTCAGAAAGACACCGCCGTCCCCCCGGGATAGGAGACAAAGGTAGTGTGGGATTCTTACCCACTAAAAACCTCCGCGGTGATCCTCGTCGGGCGCGCTAGGGAGGGCCGCGGGAACT